CTGGGTAACTGCCCCCAGTTTACATCCTGGGCATGATGTGCTGTGGTATGGAATACCTCTTTGGTCAGTTTGAGTCAGGTGTCCTGTCTCTGCTTCCTCCCAGCTTCCCCCCTTCCCTGTCAGAGCATGAGCCTCACAAAGTCCTTGGTCAGAGTAAACATTACTGAGCAGCAACTAAAAAACATTGGTGTTATCAGCGCTGTTCCCAGGCTGAAAGTCAAAACCACAGCACTGCACCAGCTACTAAGAAGGAGAAAAAAGTGACTGCTACTGCTGAACTCAGGACAACGACTTGCATATTTGGGAACCTGCACCTAGTTCATACCATCAAGGGAAGAAATTTGCCGATTCAAGAGGAATAATGTGTCAGGGGTAGTGATAGCACTTTGTCATTCATAGGCCCAGATTTCAGTGTCTTCTTCCAGAAAAAATGCCCTGCAAGCTAAAAGAAATTTTTAGCCAAAGGAATGTTTTGGCCAAAGTGAGATGCTCAGTATGAAGTATTTTGCACTCTGTTGTTTCTGCAGTAGATGAATGGGGAAATAATGATAGGGTAAGATATGTTACATAAGTGTAGACTGGTGCAAATGTTTCTGAGCCTTATCGGCTGTTTCCCTCCATCCTTGTTATCTTACAAGACATGGTGGTCAGTGAGTTTGCCTGTATCCTTGGCCACTAGACAAAGTGACTTTTATTTACTTTAAAACCTGTGGTGTTGTTGTGCCAGCATTGTCAGTGACTCAGGCAGTGATTAAACACAGAAGTATTTTTCCTTACATTTATGAAACATAAAGATATTTGTTTTGATTCAATCACTGTCACCTCATTAGGCACCAGGAAAGTTAGGTTATACATTGAATCAGTTTTGCACTTGGTTTTGTTTACTTTTCATAAATTAACATGGTAATTCACTGTAATAAAATTCTTCGTTTACACAAAGATATCAAAAGGCATCGTCCATTATTCTCCTTAATGTTACAGCTTTAGAATGTGCAAAGAAAAGCTCTGTTTATATTGCAGCTGGATGGAGCACTTAGCACAGAGCGTCATATCCCAGATATGCTCTGCTTTAAGGAGCAGGAGAGAAATCCCAAATAATGCAAAGCCCCAAACCCACCCACTCCATTAAAAGGTCTCCCGTCTTACTGAACTACCCATCCTAAACTCTGCTTCCTTCCATTTACATTCCTTTATCTTGGTCTAGCAAGTAGCAATAAGGTACACACCCATAGGCAAGAGAAGGCTCAGTCCTACTAGCTGCAGAGCACAAAAGGGCTGTCCGCAGTCATTACAGCAAGAGCCATCTCCAGTGAAGGTGGCACAAAATTTGGACAGACTGTGCGCTTTTATCATTGGCAAACAACTGATCCTTTACAGTTGCAAAGCATGAAATGACCCTCAGTCCCTCTGTGCCTCAGCAGGTTATGGATTCTGGGTGCCCTTCCCTAGTGATCCAAAGCACTAGAATTCCCCAAAGAGAAAATGGTTTATATTGCCTCTAATTTCTGATGCTGGTTGGTGTTTTCCATCATGTTATTTCATTCTGCTGTGTAACTGGTACTGGAGTTGCAGGCTAGAGAAGAAATGATGCAGCTTACTCACTTCCCACATGTGGAAGTCAGGTATTGAGAGCAAAACAAAGCTTAGCTTGAACTTCTGTTTCTCCTTTTCTCTCCCTTTCCTCTTTTCGGACTGTTTATGTTTGCACAAGCTGCAGGGGAACTGGAAGTGTACTAGCTGATCTAGAAAGGCACAAACCCCCCACAAATATCTGTGCTTTATTTGTGTCTCCTCTGAACTTTTCTTTTTGAGGGGAAAAAAAACCCAAGGCAGTTAGAGAAAGGGAAGCATCTCATGGGTTAAAAATTCACTATTGTGCTTCACATCAGATAACATTCTAGCCTGTACTTGCACCAGTCTCAGCTAATATCATTGAATGGAGAGCACACAGCAGATAAGATTTGTCCATGCTTTGCCACAGCATACAACAAAAGCACCCACGAGAAGATACATTCTTCTGTGCTGTGAGCCCATTGTGATTTTTAAATATTCCTTACTGGTCACAGAAAAAGGCTTTCAGCACTGACACTTTAAAAACCAGGAGGAGGGGTATTTTAAAAGCCCATTTTTTTGGACAGGTCAGAAAATCCTTGCATATGTTTTACGAACATGTATGGGATATATACTGTTAGGAATACATTAAAAAATCTTGCAGGTGTAACTTGGGGAATTAAAGAATAAACATTATGGCATTTAGAAATAGGCTAATAATTAAACCTTTCATCCAAAAGATACAAAAATCCTGTCTCTTGCATATTGATGGATGACATGCAAAGTTAGTAATTTTTACTAAATTTAGTATTATCACCCATTCAAGATAAGGGGCAATAAATTAACAAGGTTCCAGACATACAGAATGATTTATCACATCATTTCCAACATCTGTTTTGTAGAGCACTGGTGGTTGTGCTCCATAAAAGCATAGATCACCATCAGTTACTTGCTGGTGGCCTTCACCAAACTCACACTGAATTACTGTGGGTGTAATTCAGGATGGATCTGAGCCCTAGAGTACATAGGAGTGGACATAAGTAGTTGTGGTGGACTGACCAAACTCCTGTAGTGGAGGCTATCAACCATTACTGCAGTCAAGTGCTTGAACTGAGTAGGGGAAGAGTAGTCACTACAAACAGATCTGAGATCTTCAGCCAACTTAGACAAAACACAGAGCAAGAAGTATTGGGATATTAGAGAGCAACCATAACCAGGGAAGGCTCTCAGCACAGGAAGGGTTTAGTATTTTGGCAACCTTTCCTTGTGGAAGGAACCTCCCCACCCCACGGATCGGGTCCCCAGGCAGGGCAGAGGCACATGAGCAAGTGGCTAGGGCTGTGCTCCTTCACCCAATGGTCCCTCACTGCTCTCCCACTTCCTGAGAGACTCCTCTTGCCATGAGGGCTTCTTGTTGGACTTCATCCCAAATCCACAGTTTACGGAAAGATTCCTGCTAAGGACAACTGCTTTGGTTTGAGTGACTGCATGGAGGTACTCTTGAATTTCATGAGTTCAGAGTGGGGTCCTGAACCTCCATCAGGTGTCAAGAGAGGTGAGAGGGATGGCAAGAGGCTTGGCAATACCTGTGAAGGGCCGGAGTTGCTTGAACTGATTTTCTACATTCCCCCTTCCACATTTTAGGGATTTTTATGGAAAACACATTTGTAATGTATTCGATTGCATGTATGCAGTGGAGAATTAGATTGGCATAAAGGTAAACAACTGGCAAATTATTCATAACTCAAAATCTGCCCGATGTCTTTTTGTTCCAAAACTTTAGAAATCAGAGACTGTGCACCAGATGTTATAAAAGAAATTACTAATTTAACTGCTAAACTGCTAAAAGGCTCACTCTGGTAATATTTTCCTGCAGAAAATGTCTGTGTCTTGTTAAATGTTTATTGAATACTGTAATTATATTACATTTGCTGTTAAACGATATTGACATTTTTGAATAAAAGGGGGGTTTTTGTTGTTTTTTTGTTGTTTTTTTTTTTTAATCCAGGCAGGATCTATAATGTGAACATCTGGTTGCAACCTAATGTGTGGCATTGAAACAAAAAAAAACTCCCCACCCTCAAAGAAAAAAGCCTTCTGCCAATGTTTTTCTCTGTGTATTATTTTTTCAAAGTAGCTCCGGCTTTTGTAGCACCAGCTATGATTAAGTACCAGGACTTTTTCACTATCAGCAAATACTTAAAGGCAAGTAACCAGCAAAGCTTCAACAAGTTGATGGCTAGTGAAATAAGGATCTATTTAGCGATGAAACAGCTGTTTTCTTGAGCAATAACCCAGCTGTTTGGCTTCAAGAATACCTGTTAGAGTTATTAATCATATTAAAAAACCCCTTACCCTGGAAGGTATGAAACAGACACTTTAAGATGGGGGGATTTTTAATAAAAAGGTGGCTTTGTCACTTTAAGAAGTGTAAGGGAAAAAAAGGGGTTGGGGAAGAGTTGGGATTCTTTTAGATGTATATAGATATTTAAATAGATGCACTTAATATGCTGCCAGCTACCAATCAAGTTTCTTTTTCTTATTTAGCAGACTATGCTCTTGTAAAACACTTGCAAAATGTTTTGTATCACAGTGTTTTCCGTGTCCATTCGCTCCCTAAATCTTTCTGCTGAATTACAGAGAAGGGTTTAGATGTGATGTTGGTTAACTGCACCACTCAGCGTACATTTATTTTTTCCCATTTCCTATTGGGTAATGGAAGACAGAAATTTGGCTCACTTTGGCCTTGGGACCTATCCATAACTTAAAGAATGTGATTTCTACTGGAGGCTAGAGTAAGGAATACGTATAAAATTCTACCATCTAGCTGGAATGTTAAAGACAGACTTTCTTTCATAGGGTTTGCCTGTCACGCAGTAGATTTAATCAAGAGAACCAGTCAATTACAGTATGCTTGTGCTGAACAGATGTGAGACACAACTCCAGTATTTAAATTGCAACTTGTGATTTTCATAAAGGTGTTGCTGGCTGGGAACATCTTCAAAAGCAAAAGTTTTCTTGTACATAGACAAGACCCAATCCCGGCTGCCATATATGCATTAAAAGTAATTCTAGTGGCTCCATTGTTATTCCAGGTGGTCCTACGCTGCACAGCTGGAAGCACCACAAGACAGACCTATATATGTACAAAGCACATGCTCTTTGGACAATGCATTAATTCACTAAAAAGTGGACAGATAAATTTCTTTTGGCTAGGTTTATGGGGATTTTCTGACCTAGAGTATTTGAATTTTCTTTTGCTTAATGTCTCTTCAAAGAATAAGTAAATAGGATAAAACTCTGATATTTTAAACATGTCAGACCTGAGCTCCTTTTTTCAGTTGTAACTGAACATAGCAGTGGTTTTTAAGCAGAACGCAATATTTTGACCTGTCAAAATGAAACATTTCATTTAATGGAAGCTGAACCAGAGATTAAAGACAATCTAGTTAAGTTAGTATTTTTTATTTACATCATCAATTTTTATAAAACCATCCACAGGAACAGAAATTTATCTGTCAACAATGAAAATAGCTCATACTTCCATCAAAGAATTAATTCATGCATTGAAAGCTACATGGAGTATCATAGCTAAAATCTGCTCGCATTTATCGTGGTTTACATTTTTTTGCATTAAATAATCTGCCTGTTGTACTGCAGAATGACTCAAGGGTCTGGCACCATTCCCTCCCAGCCCCACGTGATATGGGATGAACATGCACATTTTTGCCCTGGAGCTGGACATATATCTCTTGCCTCACTGGATACAAGCTTAACTTTCTCCTTGCAGTACTGAGACGTCTCCACAATCGAGAAGGTTTTGGGAAGGAGGCAATTTGTGAGCCCTTTTTTTGGCCACTACCACCATTAACCTGTTAATGACTTCGTACATCCAGCAGTTACATCACTTCAGCAGCTAAGCATATGATAAAAATGTGCTTGGACTCAGTAAATATTATGCCAAGGTATCATGTCCACACACACACAAATAGCTCACAGTAAGACAAATCAGCACTAAGATAATTTTATAGATCAATGGAATCATTCTTAACTTGCAGAAGGTATTTGTGTTTTCAAATTCTCCCTTTTCCCAGAACAACAACATGACCTAGCTTCCACTTGTTTTTTCACTACAAAGGTTTTTTTCATCTCAAAGAGAAGACAAAGCTTGCATTGCAGGCACTTGCAAAGGCCCACACTGATTTCAGGCATGTGGGTGACTGAAGTTTAAACCTGGTCTTTAGGCTCAGGATGCCAAAGAGTCATAGTTTATCCTGTAGTGATTTATACACACTGGCATTATAGTACCTCACATAAAGCTAACATAAATGAGTCAAGGAAAAGGGTGTTATAGAAAAGTGAGGACCAAAACTAGTCTCCATCACACACTGTGTATACGGGTTCATCTTAGGCTGCACATGCTGCAGAGAAGGGAGGAGGCAGAAGATACCCTTTTGCAGCAGGTACCTGCCCTGGCAGGCTCAGTGTGAGTCTCCTGATGGCTTCTAAAAAGCACATCAACTACAGGAATAGCAGAACTGGTCTCAAGGTACCACCAATAGCATCAGGTCTGACATGTTGATTGCTTGTCCACTTTTTTCTCGTTAGAGGAAAATTAAATACTGGATATAATTTAACACTGGTCACTGTGTTTCTGTGGCTGTAAACAGGATATGGGAACATAAGTGGCTTGGAAAGATGCCATCCCTTTCTCTGCAGATAGAAGTCCATCAGCAATATCAATATTTTTTTCCTGGGTTGATAGTGGAATTTAAAATGTGATTTGTAAATGTGGTTGAAATTTGTTACACTGAGGGCTTACCAGGGAGGTTTTGGCAGGAGCCTATAATTGAATCATGTTAATGTTAAATAACTTCTGAGATACTGGAAAGCTTCATGGCTTATTCAGTAAGGTATTGAGTCCTAGAGACTCTCATCTGATGCCTCCAGCAGGGCAAGAGAAAGGTGTGAAGTGGCAGGTCTGAAGTACAAGAGCAGGATGCTCAGCAGTAGTATGTGAAGCAGACCACATCACATTGCTACCTCAGGTTTCTATCCTCTGAATACCACCATTGTCTGAAATATTGAATTGGATTGAAAATAGCCTGGGAGTTACTAGGATAGAGGGAAGAAGGAGGTCTGACCAGACAGATAGCTCATTTCAGAAGATACATTTCTTTAGGATCACAAAAATGTTGCTCTAATTTTAATGGCATATGACAAATATATATGTAAATATAGCTTATACAATTTCATAAATTCTTGATGGATTTTTAAATGTATAGCGAAAGATCCTATGGAAATTGTATTTATATAAATTGTATTCTAATTGTATTATATTATGAGAAGTATTATTAAAAATGAATAATTATTGTATATGTTTGTATAACATAAGTTAAAATTATATTCATAATATATGGATGCACCCTATAGATGTGTGTGTATATTTTACAGAAAGAGAAAGAAAAAACTTGCTAATATTTTCTACCTAAAAATGTTTAAAAAAAAACCAACACAAAACCCCAAATTTAATTCCAAGTGTAATACTGGAGAAAATTTGGTGCTTCTGAGCTCTCTTCACCCGTCTGGAGCAAGTGTAGACGTCCATTTCTTTGCGGAGATGATACGGTGTGTAAAAAAAGCTCTCAAGAACTTTTTAACCAGACAAGCTATTCGTGAGCAGCTATCCAACAAGCCAAAGAACTCAGACATTTGCCGGTATGTGAAAGAAATTTGCCAAATAGCAACTCGTTGCTGGCTGGTTGAGAGCACTGTTTCTATTGCCTAGCTGGATTAGTGTGCAAGAATTCCTTGTGAAATACGTAAGAACACATCTCTGTTAATTACATGAGAATGGAAAAGGAATAGTCTCCAAACAGTGTACACTTATTTTTAAAAGACTGTACCTTAGTAGCATTTATTAAATCTCTGCCTTCTCATCTAAATTCTAGCAACTTTTCATTAGTGTTCCTATTTATTTATTTACTTTTACATAAGCAAGGATACAAAGTTAGGCTTCGGGATCCAAAGCTTTGTTTTATATACAGTTACTAAATGCAACTGAATCCAAGGAAAAATATACTAGAAAGTAGAAGTCGCCAACTGGTAGGAGGTTTTTTTTTTGCTTGGATAGTTTTTATTCAAATATAGTTTTCTTCTCATGAAGAAATCAAACATGCTTGCTTGAGCAATGCCATCTGCAGGTTTTCTAAAGACAGTGATTTTGTTCCTTCAGATCTCCTTACTTCAAAGACTTAAGTCCATCCTACATACTACGTTTTTAGTTTGCTCTCATTGATTTAAACAGGACTACCTACCAGTCAAAGAGGAAAGCAGTGGGGTTGCTGTGAAAAGACCCTGTTCACCATCCTTTGCCAACAGATGAATTAGGCAGACACTGTGCCATACAAATGCATATTGAGCAGCAAGATGTCTGGCTGCCTCTTAATGTCCCATTGCTGGCATAAAAATCCTGTCAAAACCAGCCTTTTATGAATGATACTCAAGAAAGAGGAAAAAAAGCCCTGTCCCCTTCAGTCTCTGGGGACAGCAATCCCCAAACTTCTTCAGTACTAGGAATTGTAAACGGGGACTCCACTTGAAGGGTGCTGATGACAGATAGATTTTGTGCCCCTTCCTCCCAGGTAAGCCTGTACAAGGAAGTCAGTGAATGTAACCTTGCAGTTCATCTCTTTCCACAGTTTAGCTTCATGAATAAAGGATGTTTTATTCTTTTTACCCAAAGGATGATTTCATACTCTAAATTTTGTCTGTTTTTTTCAGCTATTTTAGTTAGTCTAATAAAAGACAATACCTCTCTCTATACACCTGGCCTTGGTTATAACCTCAGACCATCATAGTTACAGTACTACTTATAAAATATAATGCATCTAAAAAAATGACATGTCCATTTTTTCTTCTAATTTTCTTATCGAGTTGAAGTGAAATGTTGACAGTTTTATAATCCATGAGTACCATGAGCAAAAGCAGGAGGTTGAAATGCTGGTGGTCTGATCTCTAATTGGTTTAAAAGGCAATAGACTGTTTCTTTTAAGACACCGCAGTCACTTTCTTTTCCTAACTCATAGCACTAATCTCTTATAGCGCTGATAGTCTGTCTCCTTGCAGAGGTCCTTATAAGGTTTTGTAGCTCAAAACCAGGTTTCTCTTCATATCTATTTGTTCTGGAAGAATCTTTTTCATTCTGTCATGTGAAGCCAAAGATAAAGTCAATTAATCTTCTTAGCACTCTCAGCCACTACATCTGTGAGCTGGGAGAACCAAGGATTAACTTTATTATACATTATTAACTGCATTAACATTGTAGTGTTAGAAGAAGCAAAGGATACACAATCCTTGTGGGTAACGGAAGGACTACTGGAAGGCCAGAGAAGGCCAAGCTGTTTATCCATTTTCAGTTGTTTTGTAGGTCCTGAGACAGGCAAGTTTGTATCTGAAATGAAATGCAGTACGCAGAATAAATATAAACCAAATATGAGATCAGAAAATGTGGGTGGGAACAACTCTTTCTGCTACCAAAGCTAGTACTGGGAGAACATTATGCTAAAAGTCCACATATAAGATGTTTAGAATAAGGGCTGCTTTATCCAGCATTTGCCTTGAAGGCAAAGTGGTTCTGGTCCATGGTGGAAGTAATAGGAACTTCATGGGGGTTTAGAATGTTTCTTTGAGGAACAGGTCTTCATGAGAGCCGGAAGAATAGAGATGTTTGAAGGCACTGAAATAAGGTCAGTAGAGGAACTAATCTCTGAAACCGTCTCTGTTTTGTGTGCAGCTAGTGTAAATCGAGACTACAAGGATAAATGAGGTATCTCTGGGTCAGGGTAGGTTTATGCTGTAGTTGAAGCAGTGACAGATAACCTACAGGTAGAATTAAAAAAAAAAAATAAAATCTGCAGATCTTGTTTGTCTTGTTTTGGGAACTTCATGAATGAACACAAAATCTCACCTAATGCTAGCCCTGCCTCCAGAGGTTGCTTCCCAACTAAATCATTCTCTGATGCTAAATATCCTTCTTGCAAACTTGCAGTGTCTTTTGCAATACTGGTGAGTTTTAAAAATTTCCAAGTTACAAACATTCTACATCATGGGGAATTGTTTTTGTTCAACAGCTTATAGAATGTAACCTAGGAAGTAGCTTCATCAAATCCTATTTTGATATTTTATTCTGCATGGTCCCTTATTGCAGAGTGGGATTTTCAAGTTTTGCAACCAAACTGATCTGTTCCTGCAGTCTCTCACCTTCTCTTTTCTCTTGTTCCTTTTACTCCATATTGTATACACATACACAGAATGAGTACCACTTACAATTCTTCATTACTAAGGTTATCTACACATAGAAAGCTATCCACCAGTTATGCTTTCTTTATAGAAACACAATTATAGTCTTTAGAAAGGTAATGCTAAGCCTCATTTCTTTCTTTCAGGATTTGGAAGGACATATAAATCATCACAATGGGAGTAGTAAAGACCATATTAAGCTAGTATCAACCCGATGTAAGTATTTCTTTGACAGAGCCATCAGCCCTCAAACCATTACGCTCACTGCTTATGGTCTAGTATTGCCAAGGTATTTAGGCTAAAATATATGGAAAGTTATAGAAATGTCTTTCTCCTGATACTGTGATATCTTCAGGCTTTTATGTGGGAGGGTGGTCTCATGGTTACAGCATGGGGCAAGAAGACAGAGAGCTTGCTTTATTCCTCAGCCCTCACCCAGATTTTCTGCAGGACTTCAAATAAGTCGTTGGAGGTGGCTGGAGCTGGATCGACAGTAGAGAGTGTTGGCCAGAGTTCAGTATGCACAAACTCTGCAAGGGTAAGAAATGAGGGAGCCAAAATTTTCTCTGCCTTGGGCATCTACTCTCCTTTCCTCAAAGTAATGGCATGCACTTTACTCTTTCTAAAGATAACATTTAACTAACTCATAATATATCACTATAGTAAAGGAATGTTTTCTAGATTACACTTTCTATGTGTAATCTAGATGTGACTTTCTACTTCTGTATATAACTGCATGTGCCTTTTCCTTGTCTCCCCACATTCCCACTTCTCATTCTTCTTTTCAAGTTTTCCAGGAAGCTCTCAAGAATCTTTAGACCCACCACTCTAAAATGCATTGCACTGTCTGGCATCAGAAATATAAATGCCAGATCCCATCAAATTAACTTTTCACCACTGATGGAATTATCTGCATTGTTATCAGAGATTTACATACTTATTGCTGTGGCTCTCATAAATATATACATGGTGGGGTTTTTTTCCTCAGTGCTTTTATAAACCTCCAAATGAGTTGAGTCCTTTGCTGAGAGATTTAATTGTTGGTGTATGTTTTCCATGGGAACGATGAAAGCCAGTTAGAATTAGTGTTGAGTGAACTAGAGCAATCCAGGATTATGATGAATGGGAGTAGTGAATGATCAGTAATGGATGTAAGCAAAACATCACTGTGTTTGAAGCACCAATAATTAGAGGGACATGATACTTTAACTGAACATTGCCATGTCAAACATGGGACAAAAAAGCTTTTAAGTCTGAAGTCTTTAAGTACTGAAAGCTTTTGAGTAAGAAATCAGTTAATCACGAAATGGTGTGTGGTTCTTACTCAGCAAGGTAACTCACCCATTGCATAGCTTTAGCAGAACAGGTCTCATTTGCACCCGGGCTGAATTTGGCAAAAAAGAACTACAACACTGGGAAATGCTCCTTCAGAGCTTGAAATGACCCTGGTCACACAAAGTCCTGCCATCCCATTGCAAAGTTTTGGTCTCAGCAGTAATCAAGTGACCCTTTTCTCCTACAGCTTCTCATCTCTCTTAGGCGCCTCTCAGAAATTCCTCAGAAAACATCACCCTGTGCTCAGGTTGATGCCTGGAAGTAACTTATTTCTCCCCATGAATCTGAATCAATAGCTCAGGGTTTTATTATTTCTTTGCCCAGAAAGATACGGCTCACAGACTATGGGGTGGTTATGTCAGATATGTCAGGCGGCAGCTGGAAAACTTACCTCTAAGGGTAGTACTTACAGAGCTGATGATCGTACTTCAAAGGATGTGACCCATATACAGGAAATCATGGAGATAAAGAAAACCTGTTTTTCTATTAAAACTCATTTCTAGTGAAATCTAAGAGTTTCTGAGGCCTAACTCAAACCTGATTGTGGGTGAGAGTAAGTTATAATAGAACATCACTTCTGGAGGAGAAACCAAGCAGGTCAAAGTAATTTGTTTTAATTAGAGGAGACAGAAAGTGGACAGAATATTGATTTTTGAAAGCAGGACATCAGGAGCGCAGATCTTTACCTCCATTACAAAGCAGTATGTATAATCAGAGTACTGATGGCATACAGTGAACCTTAGGTTCACCTCAGTCCTCATTTCCTGAGGTTCTTTTGACACCACTGAAGTGCATTAAAGACAATCTTCTGTGGTTTTTCAAGAGAGAAGGGATATTACAAAATGCAGCAAGAGTGGAGAAAAATAAATGATCATCAGTAATGTCCTTTTAACACTGTGTGCGTAGAGGGGGAGTGTGAGTGTGTGCACACATGTAAGTAATCTGGATTTAAACTGATTTTTAGATTAAATGCTGTCAGATGCATAAAATGAACAGAAAAAAATGCTTCTGTTCTGTGCTGCGTACGTTTGGATGAGCTTGTCTGGTGACAACAATAAGTAAAGGAAAATATTAGAAGAGGAATTCATATTTGTGCTGCTCCTTTAGGAGAAATATCTAGTAACTGGTTGTGGTTTTTCATATAGGCTTTGTTACATGTCTTTGCCTCTCTAAAGGAAAATAGATCAGGGCCAGCACACTGTATATATTAGCAGGTTAAAGTACTGGGCTATACTTGCATGCTTTATTGTAAATGTTTTTGGTACTTCTTCTAAGTCTGTGTTTACCTTGGGTATTTTCTTAGTTCACACATGTGAAATAACAGCTGGGACTTGCCAAAATATAGCAGTCAAGTGCTGTACATGTAGTAGCTTTAAAACTAACACAGGTGTCCTAGATCCCTTACCAGAATAAACAGAAGCACACGATCAAGAGTGTGTCTAACTCCCCTCTTCTGGAAATGACGTGTCTTGAAATGCTTGATCTGACAGTTGCTTTGGTCTCTCAAGAAAGATGCATCACATTGGTAAAATGCGGTTGATTTTTACAAACAAGTACACCATTTTTTTATTTAAATTAAATGATAAATGTAGTATCATAACATGAATCTACTAATTTCCACCATGTTCCTTTTTCAGAGAAAAAGCAAGTACATTTATAATAAGCTCAGTTCACTCCTGGGTCACACCAGGAGCGGAAGGACAAGACCTCCATCACTGGAAAGACCACCCAGAGAGGAGGAAGCTATGCTTATTCAGGAGGGAGGTAAGGCAAGAAGGTCCCAATCATTTTCCTCCAGAGCCCAAGCCATGACTACCAGCAGCCTCTCCATCAGAAGCCCAGGGGCCCTAGCCATGCAGAAGGGGCCTGTTTCTTTTCAGTGTAAGTAGACCTCATTTCCCCTGTGTCGGCAAGGCTGTCTATGAACAAGAAGCCACTCAGGGCTTTTATGGTGGCTTTTTTCACTTGCTGAGTTTTTGTTTCTATGATTTTACTGCTGTTTCTGTATCTGAAAGCGAAATAAAATAGGACATAGTACAGCAGTGGCAGCTACTATACACGGAGGAGGAGTTTGACAAGCATTGTTGTAGCCCACTGGGATTGAGTAAACATTCAAGAATCCCACTGATAATGCACAGGAGGAATGGGAATTCAGGACAAAATTCAGAAAATGTTGTTCTTAGAGCAGTTTTGGCTCCACAAAGATGACATACATAAAACTGACATGCCTGTGGGGACACCTGTGCCATCTTGTTACCTCTGTAACTGAGTGGAAGTAGATAAACAAGCCCAGGCACATACAAGAAAGAAGAGCAGCTGGTTGCTTCTACCGAAGTGGTATTGCTTTACAAGGATAGCATTCAGGGTAGCATCCAAAGTATTATAAGTGAAGACACTCACTTGACACGTTCACTCAACAGGAAGTTGCATTTCACATATTAATATCATTGAGCTTCACTTTCTCATGAAAGTGTAAGATTCATATTGTCTGCAAGGATAGGAATTAAGCTGTCAGAAAATAACTGTCAATTCCCTGGAATCAATGTACTCAGTTTAAGAATTTGTGACACTGGACAGAAGTTGCCAGTACTAAAGTAAACTTCAGGTGTTGCCCATAGCTGCACCAGTTCCCTATGCTGGGAAGGCTGTCTGCTTTTTTCAGCTGTGTCAGTTGATTTGATGAAAGATACTGCTTCTTCTCAGAGCTTACCTTGCTGTTTCTGTAGATATCGCAGCTCAGTAAATCTCATTGAGTGTTTCGTCCTGACCCTTCCACAAAGGTTAAAGTGTCTTGGATTGAGATCTAGATTCCTGAATACTTTTCTTGTAGAAAATGTAGTACATTCACTTTTCCACATTGTGCCTGGCCAGGACAGGATTAGCATGGCATTAATCAATCGCAGGAGGATCAAGGAAGTGGATTAGAGTTGGTTTACAACCAAGAAAGTTGGTGATCCTGAAGGTAAACTCCCCCACCTGGGGGCATGAGATGAAGAAAGCAAGATTTAATGAACTGCTTTGAGAAAAGGGTAAAGCCAGTCTATGTCCTGGTTCCCCAGTATATTCCAGTTATCCCTTGGGATAACTATATTTTAATACAATGCCAGCTTTCTTTTTAATATGATCCTTGAAATTTCTTTAAGGCCACCTAAAACGTCACAGCTTTTTCCTTCATCAATCAAAACATATTTTTTTTAACTGCAGGATGTTTGTTCAGTAGAGCTCGCTGTTTTTCTTTCATTGATTTTCTTTTTAACACACGGTTGTTGAAAACTGAATTTTGAGTTTAGTCAGCTTTGTTCAAGATGCATTGCTGTTCCAAGTAGAATTTGTGGTATGTTTTCTGCAGTCCAGTGTAAGGGACTTATAGCATGATGGATGATGTTTGGAATTAAAAGCTGAATGAATGCAGGCATTACCAAAGCTGCTCTCTTGATCTGAAAAGAGAAATCTCTTTCTTTGTTACTTCTTGATAAGGAATTTACAGCACAATGTTGGAAAAAAAATTCCCTCTGGAAAAAAAAAAAATAAGAAAAGAAAAAAAAAGATACTTTAGATTTAGCAGTAATAGCAGTAATGTGCAGTTTGTGGGTTTTGTCTTTTGTATAAAAACCTTGTAAACGTAAAAGTGTTTTGAAAGTGTTGGGGGGGGACTGTTCCTATTTTGACTTTATGGTCACTTATTAATCTTTCTATCTAAAACTGGCATTTCTTCCCATGGAAAATATTGCTCTTACCTATATTAGTTTTGCCCACCGAATGTTAGTAGCAAGCACTGGTTATTGCTACTTTTTTATTCCTGCCTCAGAAAGCCATACATCCCTCTAATGCCTGACACATTAATTTGCTGTCTTAGCAAATTGCATATACTGGCTCAAAGGCACAGTGCTAAGTTTTCAGCAAGTCAAGAATGTGCTATTAAAATCAGGTAATCATCTTGTGAAACTCAGCAATTTGGGGATTTTCTCATACACTCATATGGGGAAAAAAAATGTCCAGCTTCTCCTACATCAGGGTCCAGGGAAGTATGCTCTGTAGACAAAAGGACTCTGTGTTGTGGCAAAAAATTATTTTAGGTGACATGGCATACAAGACTTCGGTGGGAATACTGTGTCACTAATTCATCCTCTCTGTCTAATTTGGCTGCTGAGTTCTTTTTCCTCTGGGGATAATTCAGAGCAGGGACCGCAGCTGATTGCCGGGGTGTTCCCCTTAGGAGTGTTGGAGAAGCACATACTCTCCGTGACTATACAGTGTCATACATTTGAGAACCGTTGCCTGTATTTGTACTGTTGGAAAATAAGCCGTAACTGCCTTAAACACCATGCCAGTCTGGGTGGGCTTTGAGAAACAAGGAACTGTGGGGCACAGCCTGCTTCTCATATCTGCTGTGGAGAGTGAGTACAACAAATTGCAAAATCGATCTGCATTGCCTCCATACTGTTAGCAGCTGGCATGCTTTGCATTGCCTCCATACTGTTAGTAACTGGCATGCTTTGGAGAAGATATAATCGATGTTCTTTAACCACTGATTTTTGATCTGTATTGCTAGATCGCTAAGAAAGCAAGCACGGTGTCAGCAAGGCCAATGTCACAGTATCAGGTCTGTGCATTCAAAGACATGCCAGACTGGCCAGGACCGAAAACCCACCAACCAGAAGGGATACAACTCTCTGACTGCGGGATGGTGACACATGGGAATCTATAGACACCGTTTATATTCTCTGTGTTCCCTCTCAGTTCTGTGGGTGTATTTGGCCATGAAAAGCATTGTAATGTTTGAGAATAGAAGATATTAATGTAGCAGTATCTTTCAACACCTCATCAATTTGGATGCTTAGTGCAGTTCTCTGCCCAGTGGCTAAATTAGTATGGCATGAAACTAGCATGAAAACTGCAAATCCCTGCTGCAAACAATCAAGCAAATGATCTCTTCCACAAGCAAATTCTTGTTGTAACTTGTACAGGCTAAATTCTCAGCTAGTGTGGACCTGCATAGCCCCCTGTTCCAGATTTGGCTTTACACCAGCTGAGAATCTGGCCTCAATAGCTTTATGCTTCCTGCCCTAATAGTACCGTGTGGTAAAGAAGTGGTAATAGCATAGGCAAAACATCAGGCCATAACGTCTCAGAGGTCTTAGAGTGGAAAACAGCTTTCCAAGAAGTTCAAAGGCTGGAGAAATCAAAGCACGCTGATCCAGCACCATAATCTCGAAAACACAGTGACAAATAGGAGAGGTAACTAATAGCTTCATTCTGAACAGCTAAGCACAGGCAGATTTGGCCACTTTACCTGCAGAGTAAGTTGTCTGCCAACATGATTATCTTGCTGGTAACAGAAATTTCCCAGGGAACAAGCTGTGCCTGAACCACCACTCAAATCATGACAGGTTCCCCCACACACCTCTCCCCTCACATCCACACTCTTCTCCCACTGTCTTTACTGGTGCTAGTTGCCCCTGAGGGGCAGAATTACATGAACTCTCCATCTCATGTGAGGGAGTGTTGAGAGGAGCTAGGAGCTTCCCAGGGGATGGCACTACTGGCTTGCTAGAGCAGCTGTTGTCACTGTCACTGATTTCAGGAGGGTCCACTGCAGCTCTCCAAGAAACATTTCTAACCCTTATGGCTGCAGAGAAAAACCTTAAAACCTGAATTCCTGACAGCTCAAAAAGCAAAGGATAAATGAAAGGAGCCCCAGTAAAGATGCTTCGGCTTTACTTTCTTGCTTTCCTTCCAGCTGTGACTGAACCCAGGGCTGCTGCTCTCTGAACAAGAGGCAGCTGCTGGGGCCAGCAAGCTGAGCTGGGGTGAGCTGGGCCTCTCCTTCCTCTCCTCTTCCCTCTGTGTGTTCCATACCTGGAGGCTGAGAAGCCTTTGGGCAAGATCACAGCTGCAGCCTGTTGAAGCAGAGGGTGAGAGGAGGTTAGTGCAGAGCTGAGCACACTGGTGTGATGGGGACCGCACAAATGTGACTGTGGGCTCTTGGCCGGATGTCGTCAGACACGAGAATGTGCTGCTTCCCAGAGGTTCTTTATCCCCTGGATAAGTAAGCCCAATGCCCACTTTCGGAAAAGGCTTTCAGATGTACCCCAAAAAGGAAAAAGGAAGTTTTGAAAGGTGGGATCTGAGGAGAGGAAGTGACTCATGGGCTCAAAGAGAGATGGGCAGGGAGCGACAGCCGGCTGAGGCAGCACAAGCGATCCCCAACTGTGCCGAGTCGTGGGAATGGGGGTGAGGAAGGAGCCTAAGGCAGGGGAAGCAGAGCTTCAAGAACAGCGACAGTCCTACGCTTGCCTTCTGGGCTTAGGACTTTTAGTGCATTCCCCTATAGCAGGCTCCCAGGCATACAAGCATGCCTGGCTGTGCTACGCATGTGGTTTGGAGGTGACTCCAGCTTCCCTCCCAGCCAGCAGAGCCCAGTAGGCCCAATTGGGTGCTGGCTGCCACACCAGTGTAGTACCCCTGGCATGGCAGCCCTGCCTTCCCCAGATGTATGGGGCCACCATTGCTCCAGCCCATGGCTGCTGCCCTTCCCTTGCCTGCCACACTGCTCCAGCCTTCCTAGGATGGTCTGAGGGGGACAAAGAGTGACTGCAGTTTGGGTGAAGAACAAGAGATTTTTGCCTTCATTTTACATTTGCAAAAAGCTGTCTTTCATCACTTTAAAGCAGTAAGAGCAGACTTGGGTTGGGTTTCGTGGGGTTTCATGAACGATGTGACATCAGAATCATGTTTGGGACTTTCACACTGGCTCCTGGCAGAGCTTCTTTGTCAGCATGGACTTTTCTCGCCCAATGGGATGCCCATTTTTACCTGATTGAGGCATGAGCTCTTTTCCTACACACTCTTCTGCACCTTCTAATCAGTGTAATCTCTGCTAAAACAAGTTTTCTCTCCTAATGAGGAAGCTCTAAAGATCAGGACTTTGTGAAAACTAAATGAGGAATTTCCTGGCTTTCAAACAATTTCCCCCATAAATTATGATGTTCTAATAATATATTTTTTTTTAATTAATTGATGTCTGCTTGATCCCTCATGTGTAGAGTACTCAAATAATAATCTCACTGCAATTCTGTACTGTGGCTTCTAGAGAGGAAGTGAAGCCAGATAACAAGATGTTACCTTTTGTTCCTTTTATTTATTATGTAAGTATCTTTAATGGGTTGTCCTATGGACCAAGTAAGGTAGATCAGATGAAAGTGCTCATTTTGAATGTTGAATTAGATCCTTTTTTGTTGAGCTCAGTAGTGTTACAGGACTCTTTCACTACTGTAGTCGAGATGTGCACTGCAGGAATATTCCCAATCCAAGTTTTACTGGCTTTTGCTTTGTGCTATTGACTAGTCTATTTGTAATGTGTGTGTAAACAAAACTCCATATTAGTTAAGCACTTCAGGCATTGTTTAAAGCATCTTCTTCCCAGAGATTCACAGAGCTGGAACTGGGATGGAACTATTTCCTCCATTGCTGAGGTCATTGCAGTGGAATTAAAACAAATGGTAAGTTTGCTATAAAAGCTGAAAACAAGGCTCTACAATTACAACTGCAAAAGCTGTAGGTAATTATGTTTTGCGTGCACCTCCGGAACCAAAGTGTCACAAAGACACACAACTTCCTGCAGACAGCTTTATCCAGTTATTAGTAGAAGCTTGGTTTGAAAAATGTTGCAATTAAAACCTGTGATTATTCATCAAGAGAAAGATGTTTACAGGATCATAGAATCACAGAATGCTTTGGGTTGGAAGGGCCTTAAAAATCATATGATTCTACCCCCACCTGCCATGGGCAGGGATGCCTATCACTAGACCAAGTTGCCCAAAGATGTCTTCTGTGCCCAGGAAAAGTGTGTCATAGAGCCTTTCCTGAGAGTTAATAAAGGTTAATATTCAGTTCTTGGCTACAGCGAATGGAGCTCATCTAATCTTCATTAATTTTACTTGGTTGCTTAAAGAAACAGTGCTCTCATGTGTCAGGTCCTGCTTTCGGATCTTACCTTTTATCCAACTTCTGAATCTTAGGCTTTTCTGCACTTCAGGTTTTTACTTTTTCCCATATCTATAAAACTAAGACATGCATCCTGAAGATATATGGCAAGGGCTTGGAACTAGATAATCTTTAAGTCCTTTCCAACCCTAACTATTCTATGATTCTATGATATTGACCTGGCAAGGGCAAACAAATTATATGCCACATGCTGTATTGTCATGCCAAACTTCCCAGGCTTTTCTTAGGATCTACTTTTGGTTTAGTGAGATCCTATTGAACTCCTGGAAGAACCTTCATATCAGGTAATTATAGCAAGGAATCATGACTTGCTATTTTTAGCCTTCTCTGGTAAAAGTGCCTAATCACCTGGTCTAGTAAGTCCATTTGGGTCTTCTGCACAGTTCCTTACTTATTTTGTATTCTAATCAAGATAACAGATCAATCAGTGATGAGCTCATTGGTAGCCAAATCGACAGGAAGTCATACAGTATGTCAGTTCATATTTTGAAGTACTTCTTCATGATAATCACTGCAATCACTAACATTTAAGGTGTAGACACTGATACGACCACCTAGTGCTTCATGACACCATGCTCCTCACTCATCCAAAGAACTAGCTTTTCCCCAGGGGTTACCTTAGCCATCAGCACTTACAAGGGGGTAGACCCTGCAATCATATGAAGTAGCCCAAGACCAGTTTGTAAATAACACCACTCATGTTTTCACATACCTGATGGTTACACAGTTGCAGCAGCAGAGCTCAAACATATGTTCCTAAATGACTATGTATTGTGTGGTATTTGGCTGCCTACATTATTTTATCCTCACCTCTAACATGTGTCTTTTGGCATACTAGAACTGTTGTAAGTTGTGTTAATAATTATCAAGGCCAAATTTAAAAGGCTCTTCTAATATACTCCTATGTCTATCAAGTGTCACCGTCCAAAACTTTTACATCTATGTGGATCTTGGTGAATCAGCAGTTAGCGTATTTCTTTGAAACCCAAAGACAGCTTAATTCTTACTCCATTTTTTCACTGCCAACCCCAACATGCCTTTATTTATATTTATGAGAGGTTATTGGCTCCCCCTGGTGGTTTTTGAAAACCAGAAAACTAGCAGAGAACATAAATCAAACTAGTTCTGTGCATAAGAAGTTGCTGATCGTTTGCAGAAGGCTGCGTGTGTAATTCCTCCTCTGTCTGTCACCACACTTGTTTTTAAGCTCAGCTAGTTTTATTTATCGAGGCATTATACTGTGGTGATGTATCTTGAGAGACGAAAAATGCATATTGATATATTAGAGAGAAATGAGAGAGAGAACTCTGCTAAGAAGCTCTGCTTTCAGTTCTGGTTTCACCAGCAAAACCTACATTTCTCTGTTAGTTCTTCACTTCTTTCTTCTACTAGTTCTTCACCTCCTGCATTGGATTTGAAATGGCTCTGCAGCTATTTACTGTCAAAAAATGCTGTTAATTTATTTTTTCTTGGTAGCTACTGTGAAAACTAATGATAATAAATGGTAAGTCAGACCCCACTCATTTACTCAATGTAGCATTTATACTTGGAGACAAAAAATTGACATCCACAGTGAGTTTCTCTTTCTTCCCAGGCTCAAATACAAAGATATGCCGTTTACTGGTGAAAAGAGAACTTGTATAGGAATGTTCCACATTAATTCACAGCTAATTACAAACATACAGAACATGCAAGGTGAAAACTGCTTCTAATCATGTTCTGCTTCTGTGGAAGCTGCCACCTGCTTGCAGGAGATCTGGCCACAGGCTAGAATTTCAGTGCAAGTGTGCACGTGGGAGCTGAAGCCCGAACTCTGCAGCTGGGATGCTCAGATGCCAGTTGTGCATCTGCTGCGTGACTGCTGCGGGAGTGTTTGGGCATTCAGGTGACTACTGGAGCCCAGGAATATCTCTTGGACAGTCCCCTTACCCTTTACTACAGTTGCTCCCCAGGTTTTTTTCCCAGAGCAGTTGTGTGATGGTGTGGAGAGGAAAAAAGAAACTACCTTTAATCTGCAGAAGTCCAGAGGCATTGTGGTTAAACTTCCTATAAATTTTCCTCCCTTCCATAGCAAAAAATCTTTTTTTTCACTGTTTGACATAAACAGTAGTTGTAGGGAAATAAAGAAAGGAAGAAGAGTTAGAACTGAGAGTTTTACCTGTGCAGAGGTTTGTGGTTATGTTCAAAATGCCTCAGAATTACTGTAATTTTTTGATTAAGTTGATCCTTCTGTCTCATTTGATTAAAATTCAGGAAACAAATCAGTTGCATTAAAATAACATGACTTCCACCTTTTTTATTTTGATTGCATTAAGCAGATATTATTGGATAATTTGGTCACTGGGCATAGGAAATTGCCATTTAATTTAATATTAGAGTCAAATTGGGAGTTAGAAGAAGGCTCCAAATCAGCCTCTGTCATGTAATAAGGGATGAGCAAATTCCTGGCACCATGACAAAAGCGGCAATGCTCCCATTTTGCTCCATGGAACCATGTTGTTGACCTAAATGACTTAACTAAAAGTCTTATTATTCGACTCTACTCATATCATTATATTTCTAGAATCTGTAGGTAGTTCCCATCAGGTGGCCTCCTGGTTCTGAGGGTGTTACAGGTGTTATCTGCATATTACAATTAGGAAACATGTGACTCCTTTCTTTCTTTTTCTTTTTTTTTTTTTCTTTTTCTTTAAATTTTTTTTTAATAATAATAACTCCCCCCCCCCCCCCCCCCAAAAAAAAAAAATATATAAAAATTGTTCAATGTTCAGCCTCTGTCATGAGTTCCAGCAAAGGGCTCAGTCCTACAAGGTGCTGAACACTCTGGCTTCCATCCAGCAAGGCACTTAGGCATGTCCTTAATCTTAAACACAGGTCTAATCCCCAGGACCTCACCAAATAGAAGCTAAGAGCTCAGTACCCTCCAGATGCAACCCCCAAACCTCCTCTCCATTGGTCTTCCATAGTTTTGTTATAGTAATATGGTAAGAATTAAGCCAATGGCATTTAAAGTATTGTTTTAAAAATACTGCGCAAAGATAATACATGCTATATCATAGTGTAGATCAGTTTTCAAACCAGGAAAATGAAGTTTTCTGCAAGCTTCAGCTCCTTTGTTTTTTCATACAATAGGGAGCACTCTTGTAGCATCTTACGTGGTTTTGATTATAGTATTTGTGATTCTTTAAATATTTATTCTCATCAGTTAAGAAACTTGGTGAAGGGGAACTTTATAAACATTTATCATGGATCAAGTGTTCACGTGGAAAGGAAATGAGTCTCTCTCTTCCTATAGAGAAAAGTACCTTTTCATAAAAGCTGTGGCCTCAATTCAGCAGAACATCTTGATTCAGGACAATGATTGAGCATATACCCAGCCTTACATATGTGTCCAATTTATGTAAAAGTTGCTCAGACTCCCCAAAACACATAAATGCTGCCCTGAATTGGTGCCTATCTCACTCAGCTGCCCACGAATCACTTCAGCAACATTAGATGTGCCATTCCATGTTCACAGCATGGAGCTCTCCAGAAGGCAGATGAGTAAACTCTTCCTTCACCACCTGAAAGATTTGTTTGCTTTGTGGTGACTGGCAGTGGTGTCATGTGAAATACCACCGGGCAAATTCCATTTGATTAAATAATTATCACATATGACCAAAAAATGAACCATTATCTGTGAAAACAAATTAAAGCTCCCCAAATTCCTTCCACTTCCTTCCTTGGTCTGTTAATTGCCTTTCATAGGCAAGTGACACAATTACTGACTTCAAACTAAACAGGTTCCAGTGAAGGTATGGTACTTGGAACTTCAAATATTCTGCGCTGATTAAACTTTTTACACAGCTTATTTAAAACAGCTTCCCTGAGAAGAGGTGAAAAGTGCATCATTTGAACCCAGGCAGTTTTCAGGATATTGAGTCCCACATAACTTTTACTAGGGAGAGGCTGGAATTGAAAGGAGATTGTGTCTGCCTCCTAATGCAAATAATTAGGGTCTCTTTTTGTAACCCAATTTTTCCAAGCTCTATCTGGGCAGAATTCCCAGTTACTTTACTGCAATTATTGCTGTTTAAAAGACTTGCAGAATGGCTTCCAGTTCTCTGAATAGTGAATGACAATGAAAATGGTGTGTACATCATAAACAAATATGATCAACTAGGTATAGGCAGAGCTGTGATTTAAATGGGTGCCTCGGGTCAGGCCAGCACAGCCAGGCACCTCTGGCTGCTTGCTGTGACATAGGATCATGCCCACACTAGTAATGTGTTAAAACATTAACACTGCCTGTTGATATTAAGATGGATACACAGAGAAACCTTGGCCCTACAGAGGCTGGTGGAAGACCCATCATCTCTTCCCCACTTCCACTTGTGACTGCTTCTCTGCCAGCCACCCTCTATAAAGACAGCAAAGCTCATTGGTCTGGCTGGTGGAACGAGAGTCTCCTGTGGTGCTGCAGTGCCACCCTCACCTGACAGTCACAACATCAGTGGGATAGAATAAAACAGGACATTTGTAGGGAAAGATTAGCCGGATTCTGTAGCTGGACTGGTTTTTCTCTTTAAGTGTCTTTCCTCTTGCATTTTGTTCTTCATCCTTTAGGCTCTTTCGGGATGAAGGTCTGGCACAGCATATTCTGTCATCAGTGGGAGCCCTTCCTGTGACTTGCAGAAAAGAGATGCAGTGTCTTCTTTTGTGCTTTTTAGTTTTTTTTATTTTCTGAAGTGCTTTGTTCAGCTCAGTCTTCAGATAACTATCAAATACCACTTTGTCTATACAAGCTGTGCTAAAAGTGTTTCATTCCTGATGCTGTGCACGTCTGCTTGAACAGGCATTACTTCTGGATTTTGGGCAAATTTACTCTGAAAGCGGCATCACTACACTTTGGTCAGTAGTCGTTGTTGGTCTTACTTCAGACAAGCCTGACCTGTTGAAATGTAATGCTTCTCATACTAGTTTCCCAAACTAGCGAGGCTGTTGCTATTTCAGGTGGCTTAAAAATATGTGCACAGTTTGTACTTTGAATGTTTAATAAGCTTAAAACATAAAATATATAATGCAGCTTGAACTTTCTGGTGTTATTTCATCACCAAAAAAGCAAAGTCTTGAGGCTCAGCAATTGCCTTTGTCAGAATGTAAATTCCAGCATGTAATACCCAGGCTGCATGTTTCAGGAAATCAGTATTAACCTATTAGCATGCAGTTTTCCTTGGAGAAGAGCCATCTTCACACTGAGCCTGTATTCCTGCTTCAAACCTTCCTGTCACTGTTCCGTATCCACGACCCAGCCTAAGGCTGCCTTTGACAGTTCTCCAGCCATTTCCTGCATACTGCACTAGCACTAATTGAAAATTTGGGTGGCCTTGCTTATTTATTTTCCTGGAATGTAGTGGGTTATATTTTCATGGCACTTTCTCAGCAGTGCAACGTTTCAATTTCAAAACCGCTGCAATATGAGGAAAAGTACCCCCCAAAATTAAAAAAATAACAATAAAAACCCAGCATACCTTTGATTAATTTTTACAGTAGTTCTTTTGTAAAAATATATAATGGAAAAAGAATTCAGTGTTGCTTTTGCCTCTCGAGATCAGAGGCAAGAGCAGCAATTTAAATACATGTACAAGATGATCACATGCAGACACAATGAGGCATGAAACTTTAAATGTACAGATGCCATGGAAATGAAAAGATAATATAACATGTATTCTTTGCAAGTCTTGCAGAGTTCAATAGCTACATAATGTGTGTGGAGGGAAGAGAGAAGCAGCCCCCCTGCACTCTCTAGGAAAATTCCAGCTATGTCTGGATGTGCCATTGGCACTAGCACTGTACTTTGCCTCCCTGGATTTCTGCAGGAATGTAATTCCACAGCAGCCAGGGTTACTGTGTCAATGTTACCTCTGTGTTTGAAGGTGCCTGTTCTTGGGTATGAGTGTCTGCATTAGATTTCAAGTTTCAACCAAGTATTTTCCCAAAGCCCTCCCCAAAATTTCAAACCTGCATGTTTTTGTTGTTTTGTTTTTTCTTCTTGTCCAGTTGTTTTGTTTTGTTGCAGTTTTTTTGTGTGCGTGCAAAAAATAAAGGTTGGTGCAACCAAGCCAACAAATATTACCCGGTTATTTTTTTTTTTTCCCAGTACACTAAGTGCAACTATTGAAGTCTTTTGTGAATCATGCTTTGCTTGCCTGGAATGCAGGCGTAAGGAAATTCTTAACAATAAATATGCCACTAAGATGCCAATTTGTATCTCAGAAATTATTTGGAGGAAGTGTGAACTGAAAATAGAGTCTGCTTTTACCTACAGGCACACACCTTAAGGTTTATCGAACTATTTGGATTTATAGATGGTTCAGAATGGAAACAAAACCTGAGGCCGAGAGGAAAAGAAATTTTTTAAAAAGAAAATTGCTCCTATTTCTGAGTGTTCAAGGTGCCATTTTGTTTGATTTGTTGGTTTGTTTTTTTTTTCTCCTATAACTCTGAAATTTGGAGGCTTTTTAGTCAAGCACAAAATATTTTCTTGTAAATGAGTAAAATAACAAAATAAGCAGTTGGGAATTTTCTTGTCTGGTTTGGTTTGTTGTGGAGTTTTATTGTTGTTGGGTTTTTAACAGAGACAGTCTCAATTCAAAGCATCAGTACTAGCATTCCCCCATTTCCATTTTCTTCTCTGAGAAGTCTAGATTTATCCACTGGGGAAATTCAGATTCGGAGTGGACTTCTCCAGCTTGTTCCAAATCCTGTTTTCTAAACTCACTATGCATTTCCCAGAAAGAAGGTTGATTTTGGCAGTTAAGAAGTGCCCCAAGCTAAAGGTAGTGTAGCAGTCAATTGAAGTATTTCTTGCACATGCATGTTGTGCCTCATTACAATTAACAGTGAATTCTGGTTCACCTGAATTTTACAAATTCCCTAAAGAGCAGCACAAGTGATTAAATGAATGCTTCCCTTTATGGCTAGTTAATTTTGATTTGTAAATGTGAGCAGTAATAAGTTAGGAAAAATGGGTTAAAATGGAAAAAGATAGTGCTTCCCTGGCCCTATCTCTCCCCACTGAGGGTTTTCTGCCCTTTGTCGAGGATGCAGCCACACCATCAGCTTGGAATTTGGC